AAAAAAATAAAGAAGGGCAATTGGCCACTCTACACACTCCTAAAAATGCAGGCACTAGAGCGGGTCACGCTCCCAACCCACTAGAGAAAATTCGAAACATTAAACATTGCCATGAACTCGCTTCCAAGTCATTTCGATAATCAAGGTCATCCAGTGATTGAACGGTTTTCTCTCTTGACAAAAAATAACTTTATTTTTCATTTTCCAAATGATCCAGACTATTGAATGTAATATCAAAACCAAACCTAATCGGGACTTCTTATGGAACCTTGTTTTGCAGGTGATATACTTTTAACAAGGACAAAATTTTTTTGATGTCAACTAAAAGATAACAACTAATGTCTTCTGACAAGTCAAAGATAAACATTTAAGCGGATAAAGATGAAAACCTAATTAGGTTTTGATGGACTTGACTATTCGATGATGGCAACCAAATGAAATATAAGTTCAAGTCTCATCTCAAGTGAACTCAAGCAAGTGTCTACTAAAGGAAGCATCTGACAAAGTCTTGAAGTGCAAGAAAGCCATACCTTAGTTAATATGAGTAAATTCTTTATAAGACAGAAGGGAATTCTCGTAAAAGTACATGGCTAAAGCGTACACACACTGAAAATATATTTTCAAACTAATTTTTCTCAAAGAAAATACCGTCAATAATATCTTGAAGTTGTGCCACATAATTTAGAAGTTTTCATAATTGTTGTGGATAAAGTTTTGTCTTTTCTAATATATTAGGACATTTGTCTAATTGATTAGTTCAGTTTAAAATTGGGTCATAAACGATTAGGAAAACATCTTAATGATGTGCAACAGCTAGATATCCATTCTTTCCTATTTTGAACTTACAAAAAATTATATTTTGAATATCTAATCAATTAGATTATCTTAAAAACAATAAACCCAATTTCCTTTTGGGGCGACCTCTAGCCTATAAATAGAGCTCTATTCCCTAATTTCATTTTATCCAAAAATGTGTTTTGACACCTCTCTCTCTATCAACTTTTCTTTTACTTTCTCTCATTAAGTTTTTAGCTATAGTACTTCTGCGAGAAAGTTCTTTTGTGAGTGAGGATATTTTGTATTTCTGAAAAGGTAGAATTGTAAAACTCATCAAAGAAATCTTTTGTATACACTTTCGTTGAATATCATTCATTTAGGGATTATTCGTGGGTTAGAAGTTAAACCCGTAAAAAGCTTTGGTTTTGAGATTGTGTGATTGAGTCTCCATTTAAGTTTGAAAGTTAAGTTCGTGATAAAAGCTTTTATCAGGTGTTTGGTTAACCCGTGATAAAATCAGTGTTAGGTTAAAGCTTAACCCATGATAAAAGATTGGATAAGGTTTGAGATTAGTCCAATATTAAAATCTCTCAGTTTATTGGTTAGCCAGTGTAAAATTAAGGTTTAAGGTTCATGAGCTCAGCCTGAGGTAAAAGCTTACGAAGTTAGTTTAGAAGCTTGAAGACTAACCGCTTCAAGATTCTCGTGGAAAGAAGACTAACCACTTTGATATACTATTTGTGGAAATAAGACTAATCGCTCTGATCTACCATTTGTGGAAAGAAGACTAACCACTTCGATCTACCATTTGTGAAATAAGGACTAACCGCTTCTTTTATTTGTTCAACCATTTTCCTTGTATAAGGGGGTTCGTGAATATTACTTATTAAAAGGTCTCAAAATTTATTGGATACTCTCAAGATCAAATCCTGAAGATAAAAATTAGTCTTTTTTTGACTAAACCTGTATAATTCTTTGTCTTTCTCTTTTCTTAAACTATTTATTTCCTACAATTTATAGTCTACTATTTACTTTCCGTTACTTAATATTTAAACTATTTTCTAATTTTCATTTGCAAAATTTTCAAGATCATATTTTTCAAAATCACACTATTCACCAAGAAAATATTCATAAAATTATACTAGTAAACAATTATAAACTCTGATATTCTTTTACTCATTATAAATTGATTTTAAACTCAAATTTTATGTTAGGAAACCATTATACTACACTTTTTTTAATTTAATGTGACTTTTACCATCACTGTATGTAAGATTTTTAAATTCGAGATCTCACATCAGCAAAATTTATTCAGATAAAATAATTTATAAACTGCAAATTTATCTCCAGATAAAATTTCTAACATCTATGCAGTGTAGGATGCATGAAACTGTTAAAAATAGGATTGAAGGTAATAAAAGCATTTTTGAATAATATTTTAAACTTGAAAGTCTTTAATGTTAAGCCACGGAGAAAAATACATAGTATTATTTTAATAATTAATTTTAAAAATTTGAATAATATATATCTATATCTTAATAAAAACGTAACTGTGACATAATAAGGATTGATTACTGAGTTGACCTATCAACAATGACATTATTTGATCTACAGAAAATAACACTATTTAATTCAAAACTGTGTCCATTTTTGTATGTAACTCTTAATACTATTTCTCATATCATTTCTTAAAAAAATAAAGTAACATAGTAATAAGCATTTATTGTCATGAATGTTCCCTCGTTTTCTTAGCAGTAGAATCACCGATTTTCTAAACTCACTTTTCAGATTTTTGTGAATAGTTTTATAATTGATTCTTCGAATGTTTGTCACATCGTTATCATTTTTCTGAATTATATTTTACAGCATTAACTCAAAAGAGTTAGAATTCATTTTTGAATTATATTAAGGTCTCGTTGAAAAATAAAATATTTGAACACGGTTGTATTGTATATAACATACAAATAATAATGTGATATATATTGTTGTATTATGTATTTAGTAAATATTTCAACAGACATAGGAGTTTATCATTAAAACTCAATTTAAGAATTAAATAATATATTATTTTACTCCGTGGCGGTAAAAAATTGTAGAGTGAATTTTTTTAATACAAAAAATAAGAGTTTTAATATTGTAATTTTAAAATACAAAATTTAAATTTATCAATGATGATTATAAAATTACTACAAATATCATTTTAATTAATAAAAAAAGGTTGATATAAATCATAAAATGATTATATATTTGTTTGGTATTAATAAAAGAGAAGAGAGTAATCACTCAAAAAGTGAAAATATAAAAATTAAAAAATGTAAAATATAAGTTAAATAATATTAAGAATGTTCTCTTTCACACATAAATTTTAACAAACTTCTTTTTATTATTTAAAATTTTATATACAATTTATTATATTATTTGAATCCGATATAAATCAAGAAGAGCCTTATAACTTATAATCAATAAAAAATATGTTTCATTAGATAATGATGAAAAAAGATAGCAAATATAAGATTTTGCTTTACAAATTATAAAGAAAATTAAAGTAATAAAATTCTATAACCTTGTACAGAGAAATAATACGAGGAAGTGGAGAAAACATAAAAATAGCCTTATAACTCATGTAACATTGGATTTTATAAAATAAAAAAATTTAAACAGCATGATAAGATATGCTATTGATAGCAAAACAAATAATACGAGGAAGTGGAGAAAACATAAAAAATTTATGAGGGAAAGCTTCTTCAAACTTTGTACAGAGAAAAATAAAATTATCAAAATAAAATAAAACTAGTTGGTGGGGGCTTAAACTCCTTTTGATTGTATTTGCATCGGCCCTGATTTTACTCATTATTTTAATTATATATTTTTTTCATTTTTATTTTATTTTTTTAATATGTTTGAAATAAAAATAAAAATAATAAAAATAATTTCTTTTGAATATTTCAATTTTAATATTATATTTTTAAAAAATAAGTTAATAAAATAACTATTTGAGTGTACTATAAATATAAAAAGAGTAATCAAAATAGACTATTTGACGAATTTAATAAGGAGTTAAATTCATATGCACTGACAGTGTAAAATAATTTTACACTGTCATTCACTAGAAATATATTAATCTGCATGTTATATAATTAACTTAAAATTTACAGGTGGGTGATTCGCTGATAGTGTAAAATAAATTTACATTGTTAATACATATCAATTAAACTTTTTAATAAATCATTCTTTATAAATTAGCCAATTTTGAAAATTGAGTTAAATATATGAGATAAATATTTATAATTAATTACTTAATTAACTTTATCTTTTTTCATATATTTATAATAAACTAACTATAATTTATAATATAATTCATATACAAAGTATTGAAATTTTTATCCACATAATCACTTTTTCGTATAATATTTTTCAAAATACCCATCTTTCCAACAATATTCCAAAATATTCTAATTTTAAAAAAAAAGTTTTATTGAAGGGAGACGCCATTTTATTTGGAGTCACCTTTATGTTTAAAGAGGGGACGTCATTCTATTTGGAGTCACCCTTATGTTTAAATAGGGGGTGTCATTCCATTTGAAGTCACCCTTATGAATTAGGAGGGGCCGTCATTTCATTTGGAGTCATCCTTAATTGATAAGTAAGAAGCGCCATTTGCTTTGAAGCCCCCCTTATTTCGTAATAATTTATTTAATTTTTAGTAATTCATATATTATACAATATTATAATATTTATTATTATTTTATTTGAAAATTTTCTTGTATAAATAGATGTCATGGCTTGTATATTCTTTCACCATTGTTTCTTACAAATTTAGCAGAGTGAATCATGTATCTTAGAAGATATGGGCATGTCATTTTCTCAAGAATCAAGCCTCCAATAAGGATGCTGTTTTGGAAGATCCAAAGTTTAGAGTAACTACGAAGGAATTTGAATCGCTGGTTAGAAGGAGACATTTCAGATGGTGAAAGAATTAGAAGTATTGAAAGGCTTGTTTCATACTTCTCGATTGCATATGACAATATACGGCGTGAGTGAGTGCGAATTAAAGATGACAACGAAGTTAGGTCTATGATGTTTGGAACTGATGATATTACTTTGAATGTTGTTCTATCTTTGCATTGTTGCTTTAGAAGTATTTCAATTTGTTTTGTGGTAAACAAAAGTTGTTATAAAAATTAAATTCCAAGGTTACACATTTTTTAATGACCAAAGTAAATCTATCTAGAACTTGTTCCAACATTTGGACAATGTTTCCTCGTATGCCCGGGAAGACGACATATTCCACACAATTTTTCCATTTTTCTCATTTGTATCCATTTCAGTTCTAATTTGCGTGCTTTTGGGGCGGCCATTTTTGTTTCTTCTCATGTTTTCATTGTGGTAAATTTTGTCCCCGTAATAGGTTGGCTAATAGTCCTAACTAGCTACCATTGGAAAGTTGTTATTGTAGATACCGAATAAGTTCATGACCTTGTAAACTTCTAATACTTGCAAGAATGGATCCGGACGAACACTGGAACATGCGGCAATGACATGTGAACAAGGCATACGGAAGGTTTGAAACTTTCCGCAATTGCACCAATTTTTATGAATTTCCACCCTGTAGTATCCCATTGGTCGACCCTCATTGTGATCATTTGTCTCGTTAACAATGAATTTGTAATCGTGACAGTCAAATGCTCTAACTCGATGTGAGATCGCCTTAACAGTTTCCTCCTTCATGTATTTTGTACATGTTTCGCTGAATAATTGCCCTGATTCCAAAACAACGCTCTATTTTTTACCTCTTGCTGCAAAAAGTGACCCCAATATATAATAGGTTGCTTTTACCAACACAGTGATGGGGAGGTTTCTAGTTCCCTTAAATACGCCGTTTAGGGATTCCACAAGGTTTGTGGTCATGTGACCCCATCGGCATCCTCCATCAAAAGCCCTTGTCCATTAATCCACTTGAATGCTACCCGCCCAGCTTAATGCTTATGCGTTTGACAATCTTATTTCTTCGCGATAATACATGAACAATGATAGGTTTAAGGCATACCCATCGTTCACAAATTTTTTATGGAGATTTATGTATTTGATTTCCCACATAAAATTCTGACCAATGTGTCTTATGCAGTAGACATGGACAAAAGGAGGATTATGCCAACCATTAGCAGGATTATTTTAAGCGCTCACAATAGAGGCATGTCTGTCGGAAATCAGACATAAGTTGTGTTGCGGGGCTACATGTGTTTTGAGATTTCTAAGGAAGAAACTTTAAGCTTCACCTGTCTCCATTAATCGGGTAACATCACTATTTTGAAACCCAAAACCAGAACTTTCAAAGAAGTATGTGTCTCCATTAAAATGAGCATGAACAATATAATTTGTTGTTCTAGACATGTTTGCATGTAATGAAATTTAGTTTAGATGATATTTATCCTCTTCAATGTGTACTAATACATATAATAAACGTACCAGAATAAAATATTATTAAAGCTTACAAGGGAGACGCCATTTGGTTTGGAGCCCCTTCATTAAATTACAAGGGAGGCGCAATTTGGTTTAGAGCCCCTTTTCACACATTACAACTGTTGCGCCATTTGGTTTGGAGTTAGCATTTAAATTACAACAGGGGCTCCGTTTGGTTTGGAGTCTCCCTAGTAATGTATACGAAAACGGAATCTTGCATGCATGCAATCTGTCAAGTGTGACAATTTCTCTACATTTTCATCTACCTCATTTATTTTCCTCATGGTAGTATGGTAGAAGAACTTTTAGGGGTCGAAACGACCCCAAGCGATTTGAGGGGCCAAAAACTATTATTATCATGGCTAAAAAAACTTTATAGAGAAATAACGTTAACCGTAGACTCTCCAGAAATATTAAAAATCAGAAAAACTAGAATTTATATTATGCTACTAATAGGTCTATTTTTATGCCTGAATGCAAGTGGTAACGTTGTTCATCCTATGTATTTAGCTTTATTAGATGACATAGATAAAATAAAAACATATAGTTGGGGCTATCACACCTATATCGGTCTTTGTGTAATTTTACCGGATGTGGTGTTCTTCTTCAAGCTTGGGGTTGGTCAAGAATGACCAATCTAGCATCTATCCAACACAATAATTTCGGATTTCCATACACTACAAGGTAATTTCTTAGACCAATTCTTTGAAAATTTCGTATTCTCTTATTTAATTTATCATATTATTAACAAATGTTTCCTTTTCGATTTGTAAGTGGTCTCCACTTGGGATGAATTATGACAACTGTCCCCATTACAGTATCACCTAGTACCTAAACCTTCTGGATCATTTGGGTCAAGATGATGTACCGTCACTGACCTACCTATTTAGAATAGAGTCATATTAAATATTATTTCAAAATACTAAATACTATTTTTTTCTCCTGCAGTTTATTTGGCGGCCATATCTTGGTTTAGAAGTCATTCATGAAGTTAACGAACACGACTCTGCAGTGTGGAGTGCAAAGATGTTGATTATCAACTTCACCACAGTGGAAATGTACAACAGTGATCGTGATCAAGCTTTAGTTTGGAATGCTACAAGATATTCCATGTGCACCAAAATGCATCCTCGAGAAATATCACACAAGTAAAGTATCCAACCAATGAGACTATTCTCCATGGACCAACTTTGCAAAACATGAGTGTCGTGAATGGAAGCATCACCGCCTTTTTATTTTGTCTGACACTATGTTGTCGTACGAGAGAAAATTGTCTATCCAATACATGAATTGGTATAGTTTGGTTACCATTGGTTTCATTTCTCATCCTACATTTCTGGTTGATCCATCCTAACAAGCCTCATCATCAAGAACCCAACCGTAGATCCAATCCCATTTCCAACAGCCAGCCCAACCCCCACTCACACAACCACAACTCCATGAACATACCACTTACCAATCCACCTCATCCACACAAAGTTATTCTCAATCTCAATACCAACAATATCCACCACCATACCAAACATACTCCTATGATACTACAAATTAATTTAACATGGAGTATCAAACACTCAATCAACCCTTACCCACCCAAACATTTACACCGACGTCACCTTATGACCAAGCAGGCTATCGTCCTGACATAGACTCATCGAGCCAACCACCCCAACAAAAGTATGAAAGCATGTGCAACCCCATTAATCTGGACGACTTTACGAAGATCGACTCTACTTCATGGGCCCAAATGATCCAATTTCTTGAAAATGACCCATTGGACCTGACGTCACCACAAAGACCACCAAGAAACATACGTACTAGAGGATGTGGTACAGGCGAACATTTCCCTCGACGTAGAAATTAATGTACAATATTTCCCCTATATACTCATTTGTTATTAAATAAAATTGTTAATTATTATTTAATATATTTTTTATTAAACATTATTCAAAAATCATCAATTAAGGCTAACTCCAAATAGAATGACGCTCCATCCTAATTCATAAGGGTGACTTCAAATAGAATGACACCCCTCTTTAAACATAAAGGTGACTCCAAATGAAATGACGCATTTCTTCAACAATTTTTTTTAAACTAGAATATTTTAAAAAATTGATTAGAAAAACAGATATTTTAAAAAATATTATAGAAAAAAGTGGTTGTGTAAGGAAAAATTTCTAAAATATGATGATTAAATAATGTGTGATTAAATATTCTTTTCTCCAATCATTTCTTACAAAAAAAAATAAAGTAACATAACAAGCATTTATAGTCGTGAATGATTTGTCGTTTTCTTTGCAATAAAATTGTCAATTTTCAGAACTCAACTATTCACATTTTTATAAATAGTTTTATTTGACTCTTTTATGTTTGTGACATCGTTATCATCTTTCTGAATAACATTTCACATTGTTATCATAAGAGTTAGAATTCATTTTTGAATTATATTGGAGCATGTACATCGGTGGTCGGTGGTGGTATTGCATTATAAAGTCACATCAATTTGAAAATAATTTCAATGGTTGTGTTATTCTTAAGCCACGTTGCCAGAATGCAATGTGCAAAATATTCAATTATTTAAATAATATATTATCTTAAATCGGATTTATTTATATTAAATTGCTTAATTAAACCTTTGTCGAAGAGAATAACGAATTGCTTACCGATTAATAAAAGAAAAATAGATCGAGAATATTAGAAAATTAAAGAGATTAATTATTATACACTGACATTATCATCATCCATCCGTTTGTATTATTTTATAAATTATTAAAAAATCAAATTTCTTGTTTTATTCAACATCTCTAATTCTCTATCAGTTAAAAATCTTTTTACACTATGAATGCATTTCAATTAAATCCTTTCAATACAGAGAACATAAGGGTGAATCAGTAAACTCAATTTAAAAATTAAATAATATATTCTTTTACTCTTTTTATCTGTTTTATAAATATTTTTAATGTATAATTTTTCATTTATATATATACATCTTAAAATTACTCCATGAAGTATATATATATATATATATATATATATATATATATATATATATATATATATATATATATATATATATATATATATATATATATATATATATATATATATATATATATATATATATATATATATATATATATATATATATATATATATATATATATCATCCTCTTCTTGTTCACATAGATATAATTTGAAGCACATACACTTTAGTCTAAATAAAATGACACTGTATGCGTACATTACATTATTTGTAGCCATTTTCTTCATCATGCTCTACAATATATGGAGAGGCAACAAAACTGTGCCTCCAAATTGGCCAATAATTGGCATGTTACCATTAGTTTTTCATAACAAATCCAATATTCATGATTTTGTAACCTCCGGACTGAAATGTTATGGAGGTACTTTGCATTTCAAAGGACCTTGGTTCACAAACATTGCCAACTTTATCCTCACCAGTGATCCTGTGAATGTGCACCACATCACTAGCAGGAATTTCAGCAACTATGGAAAAGGATCTGATTTCCATGAGATTTTTGAAATTCTTGGTGTTAGTATTATAAACTTGGACGGCAATGCATGGAAACAAGAGAGGGCACTACTTCATTCATTGCTCAGAAGCAAAAGTTTTGAGACATCCCTTCAACAAAACATTCACAAGAAGCTGCAGAATTGCCTACTACCATTTCTTGATCATCATGCATCAAAAGGTGCACAGGTACTTGATTTACAAAACATTATTGAGAGGTTCACCTTTGATATTACTTGTACTTTTTTATTTGGATTTGATCCTAATTGCCTTCCTCACAAGTTCAATGATGAGTTGTTAGACACTTCTTTTGTAAAAGCTATTTATATGCTTGAGGAAATGGTGTTATCAAGACACTATATTCCAAAA